CTCATTCTTAATATTTAAGGCTACCACAGCACACTGACCACAGTATACTATCTTGGAAATTATGGGAAAATAAACGCAAGCTAAGGAAATAAAACTTAATGTTTGTTGCTTAATGGAACGAAATTCCCCTGTAAAGGTTATTTAGTTGATCTTGAATTGTTATTTTCGAGTTGTTTGAAGCTTAGAAAGTAAGTCATTAAAATTTACATCACAGAAGTACATCAAAAGCTTCCTTGTTTTCAACATGAGGGAGTAGATCTTTTCAGTTATAAAGAGAAGCCATCAGAGGTTTTGTATGCCATTGTTCCTCATTTCCCCCACCTTTTGCTCTGTTATTTGGAGTCCTATATTTAAGGGAATTCTGCCTCCGCATCCTGCTCATTTTAGTAAATTCAAATTTCAGTTAAATTCTACTCAAGCTTCTACTGGTTTTAGAGTTCTTTGCACAAAACTTCCAGGTATTATTATGTTAAAAAAGATAATCTTATGTGTGCATGATTGACTGTGTGAAAGTTTTATTCCATTAATCTTTTTAAAAAACATTTATTTGTTATGTATACAGTGTTCTGCCTGCGTGTGTGCCGGCACACCAGAAGAGGGCACTAGATCTCATTATAGATGGTTGTGAGCCATCTATCCAGCTTGATCCTATTAATCTTATATGCAGGTTATTTGCAGTAGGGGAGGCTGGGACCCTAGGGCATGTCACCATTTATCTGGTCAGGGTCTTTTGCTCATGAGTAGATAGTGAGTAGGTAAGAAGTTAGTCCCTAGTGGCCTTTGTCTTTGAAGTGTTTGGCAGCAGTAGGAAGAGTTGTAGGCAGGCAGAGGAAGCACAGGTGACATCCTCTAATGCTACTGTCCTGGTCCAGGTCCCAGGTATCAGATTCTTGACCCTTGGCAGTCAACAGCCTGGGGATTGAGACTCTCGGCTCTGAAAACATGACAGCTCTCTGGAACTGTTGTGACCAGAGCATGTTGGTTGTCCTCTCTGACGCTTCTAGTTTTTTCTTTTTATACCCTCCCTGTGTATATCAGTATTTATTTATTTTTATGTGTATGGGTGTTTTGCCTGTAAATGTTTACCACATGTGTGCAGTACCCTCAAAGGTCAGAAGAGGGCATCAGATCCTCTGGAATTGGAGTTTCAGATGCCAGCCGCTACATGGGTTTTGAGAACCAAACCCAGGTCCTCTGCAAGAACAGCAAGTGCTCTTAACCACCGAGCCATCTCCTCAGACCTTTTTGGCTCTCTCCTATTGAGTCTCTTCTTCCTCTTGCCCTCATTCTGTCCTGACTACTCTGGAACTTTTCCCTTCAGATGCTTCTTCAGTAGTCAGTAGCCACTGCCAGGACTCGGGTACCCATGGCAATAAACAGGAGTGGGGGGCACCATGTGGACTGACCGTGGGTAGCTGGGACCATTGGAGCACAGCATCCCTTGTCACTGAGGATGGAATCCTGGAGGGCAGGTGATCTCTCTGTTGGAATCAGCAGGATTCAGGCCTGGACACATGGCTTCCCATGTTTCACAGCCAGCCGCACTAAGCTCTGCCCCACTCCTGCTTCTGCAGGCCACTGTGGCCTGGGATATTCCTAGCATTAGGGTCTAAGTGGTTCCAAGTCCCTGCTTGGCCCTGGATGGTGTAGGATCTTTACCTGTCAAGCTGGGATCAAGCCAGCCCCAGCAGGTGCTGCTGCCTGAGATAGGCACCATTTTGGCTGTGAAGTTGCCAGCAACTGTTCACCACCAATCACAGATGTTCATTTTGGGTCAATCACAGTCATTTAACCATTCAACCTTGTGTTTAGGACCAATCACAGTCTCTCATGAATCGTAGTAGTATAGTATTTCCACTGGGGGGGGAGGGGCGAGGGTTGTAAAATAACAGCTAATGGACAGTAGAAGAAGAAAGGCTGGTGCTAAATGTCAACACTGAATTTTATACAAATCCATGCAATTTTAGTGTCTTTAACTCTGAAAAACAAAGCTTCTGTCTGTGCATGGGAAGAATTGTGTCAGGGTTATCAGCACCTTCAGTCACAAGTTAATGAAGCCACCTAGTGGTTTGTTGCATAAGTTAAGGTTCTGACCATTTTGTATCCAGAAAACAGAATTAGTTTTGATAGAGAGGAAACACTGTATGGTGCTAATAGTTTATTCATAGTCTTTTAAAGGTTTACTTTAAAAGTTTTAAAACACACACACGCACACACACACACACACACACACACACGCACGCACGCACGCACGCAAGCAGCACCTGTGAAGACCAGAAGAGGGCATTGATCCTGGAGCAACCCAGCTTGGGTCTATGTGTTTTCTACAAGAAGACACTGAAATTTCAGAGGAAAGCGAAAACTGATCAGCCCTGATCAGCCATAAAACAATCTTTGGGAAAAATAAATTGCCATCTGATGCTAAAAGCGTAGAAAACTTGCTTCTGGCTGTCAGCCACAAGTGGGCTAATGCACAATATAGTGTATAATGTTCTCCGGCCATAGAGTGCATGACAGAAATATTTCCGAATGTTTGGGGTTATTTCTTTCTAAAAGGTTTATTTTTTATTATTTTTAACTATGAGTGTATGCCTGTGGGTATGTGTACATATGTGCAGGTCCCCATGGAGGCAGAGGCATCAGACTGCCCTGGAACTGGAGTTACAGGTAGTTGTGAGCCATCTGACATCAGTGTCGAAACCACTGTGCAAGCGCAGTGAGCACGCTCAGCTGCTGAGCCATCTCTGCAGCCCCTCAGTATTGTTTCTGAACTATATCCACACTGACTCGGGGGAGGAAGTGTGCTGGCTTCTGTTGGAAGGCCATAGAATCAACCGAGCCTCACAGGAAGCTGCTGTGGTGTAGGCAGTATTTCAGCCGTATTACAGACGAGGCTTAAGCATTGAGAAAGGCTGTCAGTGTGGCTGAACCCAAACCTAGACAGACAGTCTGGCTCAGCCGGGTGTGTTGTACTGAGTGGTCACTTAAGTATTGTAAGTATTCCACTGAAAAGGCCGTTGCTCAAGCTTTTCCTTGGCAGTTTATCCAGTTCGGGACAGGGCTTGGCTAGATATGCCTTAAAGGGATGCGAAGAGGCCAGGATTGCATTTTATTTACTTTTAAAAATTAAAAATTATTTTAGGTATATGAGTGTTTTGTCTGTAGCATGTTGTACACTATGTACATGCAGTGCCCCAGAGGCTGGAAGAGGGCATTAGAGCCCTTGGACCCGGAGTTGCAGGTGCTTGTGAGCTACCATGTGGTGCTGTACTTCAAATCTGTGTCCTCTGGAAGAGCGGCTGGTCTCCTGACTGCCCAGCCATCCCTCTAGACTATATGTCGTTTCCAGACTATATGTACTATGTAGTCTACATACGCAGTTTCTAGACTTTATTTGGTTAGCTTCACTCACTTCGAAGGTCACAGGCTTCGTCTTTGACCCTAGGCATCTCACACTTGTGCACATGCCTTTGGCTCTTATTATTTTTAATTTTTTAAAGAGGTAGGAAATCCACAACTTCCTGACTTAAAGAGGGTAGCAGAAAGCCCACTCCCTTCTCGTGGTGCGGCAAGCCCTCAGATACAATCTGAAATGCAGTCATGGCAAAAGCACACTTTATTTTGTTAGCTTTCCTTTTTCAAAATGGTGTTTTTGAAGCATGTGAATGGCAGCTAAATTTACTCTTCTTAACTAGGCGTGCAAGTTGAAAAGCAATCTGCAAGGCAAGTGTGCTTTGAAAGGCATTTAGTAGGGAACAAATGGCATCACTGAAACATTTTCACTTACAGGAGTCAAAATATTAAATAGCTTGTGTCTTACCTTGAACATTTAAAATGATGTTCTCTAAAGCTGTGAGCGAGGACAGTTGTGTTTTATGTAAGAAGGGAAAAGGTGTTTGCTGTGAAATGATTATTCTTTTACAGACAGGTCTCCTTAAAAGCAAATTCCCACCTTCAGAGAATGCTTAGGGCCGTGGAAACCAAGCTTCTGTGTTAGGTTCTATGTGGTGCTTGTGCAGACTGGAAACCTAACAGCTCCCTGCATACCTGAACAATCTACCCTACCATGTGATTGATGCTAAGATACAGTGTGAGAAACACAGCTAGGAATCAGGGTGCTTGGGGTTCCTAGTTCTGCCTGTCATTCTAATAACAAACTGAGATGTAGTTTTTTGCCCTTTTTTTTCATGAACTTTGGAGTAAAACACCACTTCTAATATGTTATCTGGAATATATTAGATTCAGCATATAAATTATTTGAGCCTTAGTTTCTTCACCTATAAGTTGCTCCAAATATATGAATTTTATTAGATCTTCACTGTAGGCAGGCATTAGCCTTTCTTTTTGTTGTGCAGATGTCTCTGTGTTGTGTGTTGTGTGTGCATGTGTCTGTGTGTTGTGCGTGTGCATGTGCTGATGTGAGCAGTCTCTCTCAGTCGCTCCTTACCCTATTCATAGAGGCAGGATATCTCAATTGAAGCCAGAACTCACTAATTTGTCTAGTCTAGCTATCCAGTTGGCTTTAGGGACCCCTATATTTCTGTCTCTGAGTACTGGAATTATACATCGTCTGGGTATTGGGTGCCGGGGATCTGACCTCTGGTCCTCACACTTGTATGGCAAGCACTTTACCTGCTGAGACAGCCTTTGTCCTATAGTTTATACCTTAAATCTTGACAGTAGTCTTACATGAAAGCTCTACTACTGTTAGCCTCATTATATGCAGGTAAGGTCACTGCAGTGGAGAAAATGGATAATCAGAGAGTCTAAGTAACATACTTAGAAACTGGGCCACCTAGAAGGGGACATAGTCTTCAGCAGTGGTAGCTGCATTCTTTCTTGTCAACTCCATCTCATCTGTGCCTCCTTTTCTTTAGAATTGTGCTTAAGATTAGTGAAGAGAAGAACCACGTGGTTAAGCAACATGGAGTTCAGCAGAAATGAGACAGAGGTTGTAGGCCAGCAGGTGTAAGTAAAAGTGAGTGTTTGTCTCTTTACAGGAGTGGCAAAGACTCAACTATGACATCTACACTCTGCGGCAGATTCGCAGGGAAGTGAGGAACAGATGGAGACGAATCTTAGAGGACTTGGGTGAGTCTGAACGAGATTGTGAGACAGTAAAAATAACTCTGCTGTTTCCACCATGGTTTCTGTAGAAAGAGTGTCAGCGCTGACTGCTAAACTGCCTCAGACCTATTGGTTCTTCGGTTTTGCTTTTATACAGACTCTCTTGGTAGTTCTGTCGTCACCAGCTCATGTTACTGGGCCATATGCTACTTCATCTGTCCCCAAGTATGAGATAACACAGAGTGGTGGGGTCATATGGGTATTGCTATTTACTGTTGTGTCATCATTTATTGATTGGATTAGATGGGTAGTGACTGAACAAGTAGTAATAGCTTTATGGATATGGCAGGTTGAAAGAAATATTGTTTGTAAGAGATAATCTAAGACACAGCAGAAAATTCTTAAAGGAGCAAAAGAAGAAAAGTTACAAGCTTGGGAAAATACACTTGTCATTGTGGTAGACATAGAATAATGGCCTTTCTTAATTCTACTATGGTTGAGTAAATATATCCCTATGTCATAGAATAAGCTTGCTTTAGTTTTCAAAAACAACCACCTTTGAAGTCCTTGATCTATCTGCTCTGAAATAACGTGGCTCCTGGCATTAAAGCTTTTCAAAGATGGAGTACCAGGTTGCTAGCCCTGGCTGTCTAAGTTGGGGATAGCGGGGTAGGGTGGATACTCTGCACTCTGAATTCACACGATATTGCTGTGGGCTCGCAGTCTCCTCTTTGCAGTTAAGTCAGCCTGAACAGGTTTCATTCTTCGAGTCTTTTCTATCTTTAGGAAAGTGATTTTCTTCCAGTTGACCAGACTGTCATATGGAAGGAAATCAGGGCTTGGAGGTGATCACTGTGCAGGCTGGGGAGAGGTGTAGAGATTCTAGGACAGGGTAGCGGGCAAATGAGGTGAGCAGCTGGGGGTCAGGTATGACTTCCTTCAATAGAGGGAAGAAGACAATGAAGAAAAGCCAAAAAGGAGAAAACAGTTTGTTGTTGTTGTCCGGGAACTCACTCTGTAGAACAGGCTGGCCTTAACTCAGAGATCCGTGCTCTTTGAAAACAGTTTTGAGTAAAGAGCATCCCACTCACAAAGAGCTGGGGAGCAGCCCTTGGTAGAGCCTCTGACTTTGGTTTTCACTGTACAGAACTCACACTTTGAATCCCTTCTTAATAACCACAGCGAGGCGGGGCGGTGGTGGTGCACGCCTTTAATCCCAGCACTGGGGAGGCAGAGGCAGGCGGATCTTTGTGAGTTCGAGACCAGCCTGGTCTACAGAGTGAGTTCTAGGACAGCCTCCAAAGCAATACAGAGAAACCCTGTCTCGAAAAACCAAAACAACAACAACAACAATAAAAAACAAAAACAAAAAATAAAAAACCCCACAGTGATAGTATCGCGGGGTGGGGACTTCCCAGGGACGACTTCACACAAGGGCTGTGTGTTTCCACCATAGGTTTTCAAAGGGAAGCTGACTCTTTGCTGTCAGTGACCAAACTCAGCACCATGAGTGATTCTAAAAATACGAGAAAAGCCCGAGAGATGCTGCTGAAACTGGCAGAAGAGACCTCCATCTTCCCAGCCAGCTGGGAGCTCTCCGAGAGGTATCTCTTGGTCGTGGTAAGTGGATGCCTTACCTCATCCGCCCCATTTTGCTTTACTTTCACCATTTCTGTTCTTTCCTGCCCCCCCCCCATCCCAACCTCACCGGCTCCGCCAGGACAGAGTGGCAAATGGTGCTGCCACAGTATGCCCCTGTGGCTGATGGCTCCAAAGCCACCTGGGAAGCTTTGAAGAGAAAGAAGGATTTCTGGGTCCCACTTAAAAACTGTGAAGGTTCAGGCTGTGGCCAGAGTGTTTTTCAGATGATTTCTGCTGTGTGGTTAACATTTCAACATTAGGTAGAGAGCCTAAGTGTCTATACAGCCTGAGATTGGAAAGATGGGTGGAAGGCAGGGGAGACAGTTGAGTTGGTGATATCCTTGTGTAATCATGAAGAGCCCAGTTCAATCCCCAGTACCCACTTTAGAAGCCTAACGTGGTGGCCCTGCTCTTAATCCCAGGACTGGGACACAGAGATACAGGTGGATGCCCTAGGCTTGCAGTCGGGCCAGCCTAGCCCAGTCCGATGTGCCACAGCTCCCAGTGAGGGACTGTGTTTCAAAAAAAGAACAACAAAGGTGGGGTGGTTTTTGAAGAACAATGCCGAAGTTTGACCTCTGATCTTTGCATGCGTGGTGTGCACGCCAGCCCACCTGAACACATTCATACACATTACACCTGCACATACATATGCTCTCACACACAAATTATTGGTGGAAACATCTCTTGGGTCATGAAGTAAAAGGGTAAGATAACCCTTTGAGTCTTGAATTTTTTTTTAAATTCAACCTTTTTAGAGAAGGTTCACAGTTTTTTGTTTTGTTTTTTGAGACAGGGTTTCTTTGTGTAGCCCTGGCTGTACTGAAACTTGCTCTGTAGACCAGGCTTGCCTCAAACTCACAGAGATCCACCTGCTTCTGCCTCCCCAGTGCTGGGATTAAAGGTGTGCTGCCACCACTTGGCCAAAGGTTTTTTTTTTTCTTTTTAAGATTTATTTATTTTATGAATACCAGTGCTCTATCTGTATGTATGCCTTTATACCAGAAGAGGGCACCAGATCTCACCACATATGGTTGTGAGCCACCATGTGGATGCTGGGAATTGAACTCAGGACCTCTGGAAGAACAGCCAATGCTCCTAACCTCTGAGCCATCTCTTCAGCCCTGAGTCTTAAATTTTTTTTTGAGTCTTGAAATTTTTAATGAATCTTTTACTTGCTTGGCAGTTTCCAATTTGTCAAGCTTCTTTTTCATTTATTTATTTGTTTTTTTCATTTATTTGTTTATTAAACTGCAGGACCGTCTTATTGCTCTTGATGCTGCCGAAGAGTTCTTTAAAATTGCTAGCCGAACTTACCCCAAGAAGGCCGGGGTTCCTTGCCTGGTAGATGGCCAGAAAAAACTGCACTACCTTCCATTTCCAAGCCCCTAAGGGACGGCCCGGAAGAAGAACGAAATTCTTCCACTATGTCACAGTAATTTTCCAAAGTTGAACCGCTGCCTGCGGTTGCCAGTGAGCCAGGAGACAGCTTTCCACACTCAAACAGGATTCTGAATCCTACAGAAGGAGACATCTTCCTCAGGACCTTTGCCTAAGAAGACTCTGCTTACATTAAAACACCTGGCGACCGTGCATCCGGAAAGCAAGTTAAAGAGTTGGCCAGTGGATGTTTTTCCTGAATGGTCAGATTGTAAGAACTCATCACCTGGATGGTTATATAAGCTACCGTCATTCATCCTGTGGAGGACTGGTGTTTTCTAATCAACAAAATAGTGTGATGAATGGAGAAAGGTGTAACTGAGCCCCTTATTACTTCATCAGTTTTGAAGTAATCATTATTAAATGCAACACTAGACAAAATGCCCCAAATTTCATAAAATCCGAGGCCTGGTGTGACCTGTCTCTGATTTGGAAACACCTGCAGCAGCTCACATGCTGTTGGGGCCTCCTTTTGAGCACCAGGCTTGGTTGTTTAGAAGCATGGGTGACCAACACAATAGAAATGTATGGGCACATAGCCCAGATAGCAGAACTTCCTGCACTTGTGTCTCCATTTGTGACACAAGCACCCTAAACCCTAACATTAATCCCCAGCATTAAAGTTACCCAGTGACCTTGTTTTTTTAATGTGTTGCCCATTTCTAGTCCAAAGAGCCCTTGGCGTTTTATGAAGAAAAGCATCTGTAAACTGGAATGTTTGGCCTCTGCCTCCTGTCTTGAATCTGTTTCCTGATTATCAGCTGAGGGTAGTACCTGCTGAGGGAGCTTGCAGTGCAGACATATAGGTATGGAGGTGCTGGCATATTGGCAGAGGTCACCGTTGGGTCTTTCGTTAGTCTGAAGACGATTTTCACAGTGGAGCCGTGTTAGCAGTGTAGCGTGCCCGTAGGAAGAGAAGCCCAGTTTCCTGATGTCATAATGAAAGAGCTTGCCAAGAGTTCATGTTTGTTTTGTTGAAAAAACTTTAAAGACTGGTAGGATTTATCTGTAGACTACTGAAAACAATAGAAATATTTTTTATTTTCTAACAATTTTGCACTTCTAACTTCAGGTTGAAAACAAATTTGTATTAGACTGTTCAGGAGGTTGTGACTTGAAAAATTTCATATCCTGGGGAGGTTTCTTTTGCTTGTGTACTCCATATTTAAGATATTTACTAGGTAATACATGTCCTCCATTCATCAATGCATTGTAGACCAATTTAACAGAATTCCAGAGAATTCTTCCAAGTTTAGTAGGTAAGCTAAAAGTTTTATTTTTTTAATATTTAGTGCTTAATCTCTGCCTTATGTTGTTTGAAATTAGCCCCTTAGATATTTTTACTCACTTCTGTGAGCTTTTAGAAATAAGCAATAAAATAAAATAAATCTTAGACCGTTGTATTGTTTTAATATCTGTACTCAGAATTTGTTTTGTCTTCATTTTTATATCAAAATAGATGAATTTATCTGTGTCTGGATTGTAAACCATTACCATAGTTTTATTTATTTTAATAATTTATTTTAACCTTTTTATGTGCATTGGTGTGAAGGTGTCAGATCTCCTGGAACTAGAGTTACAAACAGTTGTGAGCTGCTCTATGGGTGCTGGGAATGGAATCGGGTCCTCTGGAAGAGCAACCAGTGCTCTTAACCATTGAGCCATCTCTCCAGCCTCCATAGTTTTCATTTTTGTTAATGAACAAGTGTGTAAAATTGTCTCTATGGTAATTAAAACACATGAAATTACCCAGGAATGTTTATCCAAGGGATTAAAAGACTTCCACGTGTGCCTTAAGTTGAATGTGTGTTACATTTCTGACAAATGAGAAGGGCCTCTGGTGTTCCTTCCATGCTCCCATAAATTAAAGGGCAAAAATGCCGAGAGACAGACTGGTTTAAGGACCTCCTGCCCACGAAATCCAGTCAAGGAGTGAATTTGTGCTGAAATGAGTAGGCACTGCGTGTATGAGCGGCTGGGACTGACTGAAGTGGGCACTTGAGAAATCACAGGGTTCTCCGCTGGACGGGGCTGCAGATGTGTCGGGAGGCCACAGGGCTCTCCTTCCGTCATCATCCCCTTGTGGATCACTTCAGCACTTCTCGTAGAGGCATCTGTGTGTGCTGGGAACACATTTTTATATTAAATTTATTTATTCTACTGGGCATCAGGGAAAAATAAAATCCCTGTAACTAGCAAGTCAAATACTCAAGTTCATATTGCATGGATGGTATTGGACAGGACAGTAAAATATTATATTTCCTTTATTCTTTTTTGTTTTTTTTTGGGGGGGGTAGGATTTCTCTGTGTAACCTTGGCTGTCCTGGAACTCCCTGTGTAGTCCAGGCTGGCTTTGAACTCAGAGATCTGCCTGCTTCTGCTTCCCAGGTGCTGGGATTAAAGACATGTACCACTGCCCAGCTGAATTTGATTACTTTTCAAACTCATAAACTATTGACCAAAAGACAGGGTGCACCCCTAAGAAAGAGGGCGTATTGCTATTGCTATTAATTCTGACAATAATTCCCTGTGGTGGTTTATAAGGAGGAGGGAGAATATACACACACACTTAATAGACCCCTCTTGATCATCACAGTTTCTTAGACTCTCCTTGCTATCAATGTCCTTAGTAAAGTAATCAATAGAAGTAGGATGCTCACTGAGAGGCAGAGTCAGTATCTTAGGGTTGCTATTGCTGTGATTAAACACCATGGCAAAAGCAACTTGAGGAGGAAGGGTTTCTTTCTTTCTTTTTTTTTTTTTTTGGCTTTCATTTTCCTATTACTGTTTATCATCAAAGGAAGGTCAGGACAGGAGCTTAAACATGGCAGGATGTAGCCAGAGTTACTGTTCTGCCTGGTCCTGCAGTCTTTTGGACCCAAATAAACACACAGAGTCTTATATTTATTAAAACTATTTGGCCAATGGCTTAGGCTTTCTACTGGCTCGCTCTCTCAACTATTAACACATACCTATTAATCTGTGTATTTCTACATGACCTTATCTTTCTGGAGAATGCCTGGCATCCTATCTTCCCGGTAGCTATATGGCGTCTCCTGGCGGGCTTCTCTCTGCATCCTCTTGCCAGAATTCTCCTCGTCTCGTAACCCCACCTATACTTCTTACTGGCCAATCAGTGTTTTATTCATTAATCAATAAGAGAAAGATACATACAGAACGACATTCCCCCATCAGCAGGAACCTGGAGGCAGGGGATAATGCAGAGGCCGTGGAGGGGTGCTGCTTACTGGTTTCTCCTCTTCACTTGTTCAGCCTGCTTTCTTACAGAACTCAAGACCACCAGCCCGGGGATGGCCCACCCATGGTGGGTGAGGCTCTTCTCCACCAACTGTTAATTAAGAAAATGTCCTACAGGCTTGCGTACCACCTGATCTTAATAGGGACCTTCTCTTAATCACCTTCCTTTCAGGTGATTTTCGCTTGTGTCAAAATTATCCTAGCCAGTTCTGATGCCAGTGAAGAGTGGCAGTGGCCACAGCCGCAACACAGTAGATGAACCTGGGAGCAAGATGCTAACCAAGATAAACTTGTCAACTGATGGGGGAAGTCCTGTGTATATGTCAGTAAAGCACTGTTGGCCAATAGGCAAGCAAGATAGGTGGGTCTGGACGTCCAGGAGGATTCTGGGTAGGAGAAACACAGGGAGTCAAGATGAAGCTGTGATAGGGGTAAGAAGTTCAGAACTATTCTCCAGTAAGAGAAATACTTAGATTAACAATTATGGGGTAAATACTTAAGTCAGAGCTAGCCAGTAAGAAACAAGCAAGGCCAACAGCTTCATAATTAATATAGCCTCCTGTGTGTTCATTTGGGACTGATGCGGCTTTGGAGCAGGCTGGCGGGAAGGCTTCCCTTTACAGTCAACACACGAAAGCAAGCTTGCAAAAAACAAAACCCCTTCCCCTTGGATTTTGTTATGTCTAAGCTAATACTGGAAGTCGCTGTCCACATTCAAGGTGGGTGTTTCCACTCTAGTGAATATAATTCAGAAAATACTTTCCAGGTGTTCCCACTTGTCTCTTAGTGGAGTCCAGGTCTATGCAAGTTGATAACCAAGGTTCATGGCTATACATACCATTGTAACATTTTTAGTTGAATCTTCCTCCTCCTCCTCTTCCTTTTGTCAGATGGTCTTCACAATGAGCATCCTTTCTTTAGTTGAGAAATTAAACCTAAGTTTCTCTATGCTTTGTCTTTTTAAAGGCTGTCGTTTTGGGAAACTTTGCATTGGCAGCAGCAGAAACTCATTGATTTGCTTGGTGATCACAAATGGATCATGACACAAACTTGGCTTACTTTCCATTGGATTAATGCATTTGTTCATTTCCCAGATCACTTTCCATTAGTGATGTCACAAGAAAGTGACTGAATTTGAATAAGCTGCATGGAAAGGAACATAATGTTGTACTTTGCAAATGACTTCCTTGTACAGAATGAAAGTGGCCAGACACTGTTTTTGCTGTGTATAATGTTCCAACAGAAGTTATTAACTTCCAGGGTACCCCTCCATCTTCTGTTTGACACACTACAAATGAATACTTGGATTCCCAGTTTCAGATTATGTCTGCTTTTGGAACACTGGCTGGCTTATGGAGAACTGAGTCTTGGCTCGTGTCTCACTCTTTGATTGCTTTTCAGCTAAATGGGTTTTATTTGATATCATTTCTTTTCTGTATTCTAAGTCTTTGTTAAGATGGAATTAGAGGGAACATTATAGTAAACACAATAAAGTTACGACATTTAAAATTAAGACTGCACAGATCTATAGTTCACCACTTCTTTCAATAACTTTTGTTCGCAAAATTATTTTATTTTATGTGCATGTGAGTTCCTGAGTGCATGTATATACACTACATGCATGTGTGAGCCTAAGAACATCAGAAGAAGATAGTGGATCATGTGGGACCAGAGTTACTGGTGGCTGTGAGCCACCATGTGGGTGCCGGGAACCACTGAGCCATCTCTCTAGCCCAGTTTAACACTTAAAGAAAACAAGCTGCCTGGTGGTGGTGGCGCACGCCTTTAATCCCAGCACTAGGGAGGCAGAGGCAGGAGGATCTCTGTGAGTTCGAGACCAGCCTTATCTACAGAGATAATTCCAGGACAGCCCCTGTTACACAGAGAAACCCTGTCTTGAAAAACCAACCCAAGCCAACCCAACCAATCAAAACAAACAAACCAAACAATTGTAGTCCTTAGGGAGGGAGAAATTTACTTTAAAAATTCTCCACAATTAGCTATAAGGAATGTGTGTATATGTAACTAAACTTGATCCTGTATCTTTGGTGATGTGTGGTTAGCATTTGAAGTAATCTAATCAGGAATCTACTTCCAAAAGACAGTTGTTGAATCATTTTAATTATCCTTATCAGGATTCTCAGCTCTAAGTGGGGCATCTTTATGAAATTTCCCACTATGGCGCTGGGAATATAGCAGTAGAGGAGGCAGACAGAATGTAAGAGCTGAAGCTTGCAGGGGAGTGCTGTGAGGTTCCGTCTTCTGGACCGGACATGGCTATTGCTATGGGTCATTTGCATGAGATCATGGCAGCCAAGACTCTGGCGCAGGTGAGTGAGGTATCCCTTACTGAGGCGCCTTTGACATGGTGAGGGAGGAAGAATCCTTCGTTCTTTTATAAGACTGTGTTTGCTGGTAGGTTCCCCCATGCTCCGGTCGGTGATCTCATACCCATGCACTTTTGGGGCAGCACTAATGAACACGATGGGTTATAAAAATAAAAAGTATGGAATTGGGAGAGGATTGTGTTGGGCTTGCTGGCTAGTTTTGTGTGATTTGTCACAAGCTAGTCATTTGGGAAGAGAGAAACTCAATTCAGAAAATTGAGTTGGCCTGTGGGGTGTTTTCTTGATTGATGGATGATGTAAGAGGGCCCAGTGCCCTGTGGGTGGTGCCACTCTTGGACGGGTGGTCCTGGATGCTATAAGAAAGCAAGCAGAACAAGCCAGTAAGCAGTATTCCACCACGACCCCTGTATCAGCCAGTTCCTGCCTCCAGTTCCGGGCTTGAGTTCCTGCCCTGACTTCCCTCAATGGATTACAAGCTGCCAGATGGAATAAATTCCAAGTCACTTTTGGTCGTGGTATTTTATTACAGCAATAGGAACACTAAAATGGGTGGAAGGGTTACAGAGAAGCTGGGGGGGCAGGGATAAGAGGTAGATGTATTTCATTGTATTCAGGTATAAATTATTTTGGGAGTGGGTGGGTCAAAGTGTATGTAGCCTTGGCTTTTATGGAACTTGCTGTGTAGATCAGGTGGTTCCCAAACTCGGAGATCTGCCTGCCTTTGCCTTCCAATGGTGGATTAAAGGTGTGTGCCACCATGCCTGGGCACACAATTCCTAATAGAGAAGAACTATTTATACCTCCAAATTCAATAGTTGTATCAAGTATGTTAGGATCATTTTCAAGTTGTAGGATGAGTAGTATAGTTAGTACAGTAATTGGCTAATGAGACTGGTCTCCATCATCTTTCCTCCAAGAAGTTGTTAAGAATGTGTGAGATCCTGCAACCCTCAGGCTCTATTTCACCTGTCAACTTCACACATCTGTCCCTATGTCCTCAGATCTTGTTATCAGAATTGTCTGCCCAGGAGTGAGAATTTCATGTTTAAACTTGTAATACCTTGGGCCCAAAAGCAGAATGGAAACTTCCCTAGGATTGCAGGCAGCAAATGTATCATGTGCTTTATGCATAGAAAAATTTGGATTAAGACTTTTTCATTTCAACATGCCAACTGATTTTAAGAATGTAGA